TTGAGGCGTGCTGTGAACTTCTACAGGAGAGATGTAGGAGACTGGGCTCGAAGATATCTGAACTTGTTGTTCTGCCCATCTATGCCAACTTGCCCTCAAGACATGCAGGCCAAGATCTTCAATCCCACTCCGCCTGGAGCACGCAAAGTAAGAACGCCGTTCCCTTTGTCATCCAGCAGGGGGCGGCATGTGTTGAAATCTGTGGAAGATTACTTGCCTTTACTTGTAAATTTATTCTTAGCTGAAGCTTTTATCCAAAATAAAATCGAACCAAACAAACTGATGCAAAATCTTATGTAAATGTTTTTCTTTCAAAGCTGTATTTTGTTTATCATCTTGATAAATATGCTAAACTCTGAATATGGATTTCTTTAGTAACTGTGTGTGGTGTTTTTGGGCTTCAGGTTGTGGTGGCCACAAATATCGCAGAGACGTCTCTCACAATCGACGGCATCATCTATGTGATTGATCCAGGTTTCTGCAAACAAAAGAGCTACAATGCAAGAACAGGAATGGAATCTCTCATTGTCACTCCCTGTTCACGAGTAAGAGAAGCTTCTAGCAACAACATCAATCTGTAAAGTGTGCTGTGTACCCAAAAGTATTTGGACAAGTCATTTAGATTTAAATGATTTATGAATGTAACAAAATGTTTTATTATTAATAATTAATTATTATAAATAGCAACAGCAACAATAATTATTTTAATAGTTATAAGTACTAATTAATTATTATAAAATAATACATTATATATAATATATAATACATTATTATGGTCATTATTAGTTGTAGTAATTAAGTAATAAGACATTACTTTAATTATTTATACATTAATAGTATTAATAAATAAAATTAATTAATAATAAGAAGAACTTTTATTATCACAAATTATTATAGTATTGTTATTATTTTGTAATATTGGTCTGAATGTGGGGAAAATATTTAAAGAGACAGGGGCTTATTTATTGTCCTTTGAGTCTTGAGTTACTCATTTTTAATTTTTGTGATTTTTATTTTGTGAGGAAAAATGGTTATGCTTCTTTAGTAAATAGGGTTCAAATATTAATTGATGTTTTGAAGCAGTGATTTATAATGTGTTTTATTATCATGCAGGCATCTGCCAATCAGAGAGCAGGTCGTGCAGGAAGAGTGGCTGCTGGGAAATGTTTTAGGCTATGCACTGCCTGGGCCTTTAAACATGAGATGGAGGAGACCACCGTCCCTGAGATCCAGAGAACAAACCTGGGCAATGTGGTTCTGCTGCTCAAAAGTCTCGGTAAGAATGAATGAATCAGTTTTTCTTCATGACAAATCCCAATGCCAGTTTGATTGTTACAGAATTGTTCTGTAATTTAAATTATATACACCAGCAATAGCAGTATTTAGCAAACATTTGTGACAATTTAACGCTTTCACTCTGCTGATCCTTATTGTATTTGTGTTATACAAATAGTTTAGTGGGGTTTTTTTAAAGAATATTTCTGCATTTTTGGGGCAAAAAGTTGTTGACCTTGCATTCAGTTCAACATTTCAATTAGACCTCATGTGGAAACCGTGATACGTTTTCTTTTCAGTATTCTTTGATGAACAGATAGTTCAAAAGAACAGCATTTATTTAAAAATGGGAATATTTTATAACATTATAAATGTCTTTACAATCACTTTATTTTAATGTATCCTTGCTGAATAAAAGTATTCATAGAAATTAATATATAATTGATCAAGAAATGTTACCCCAAACTTTTAAAT